TCCCACCCCACCCCCACCACCCGTGGGAAAAGAATCACCGAAAGCAGAAAACAGGCGGGAAAGTTCCATCCTGACAAATGGATCAGTTGACATGTGGGAGCTTCAGTTCACGCAGCATCGGGGCTGGTGGGGCGGCCCCCAGGCCTCATGGAGGGCACAGGGCAGGGCCCACCAGCAGCTGGAAGAGCCTGGCGCATGGCTAGGCTTCCAGTGCTCATCCGCTCACAGGCTAATGGTTAGGGGTAGGCCCAGAGCCCACTGCTGTCCCAGCGGGAAGGTAGAAGCTCAGAGGTAGTCAGGGCTACCCGGGCAGAGAGGGGTGGTACTGCCCCCAGGACACTGAACCACACCAGCAGCTCAGTTAGCCTGTGAATGCTGCCACAGGCCAAGGACTGGAGCGCTGCAGGTGTCTGCAGAGAGCAGGTGGGGACACAGGGATGAGGGATGCTGGGGGAGGCTCAACAGGACTTGCACAGAACACTCAGAGCCGCACAGGACACAGGACCTTCAGCCAGCAGGGGCTCTAGGGCCCCTCGGGTGAGTCTGCCCAACTCAGAGGCAGCAAGCACTTCTCAGTTATTTAAACAAGTCTCAGTTGCCTGGCACCCCTGGGTGGGCATGGGGAGACAGAGGACAGCTCTGTAGCCAGCAATAAGGCATTGAGTGGAAGCACTTCAGGGTTTAAGGGTTAAAGGCCAAATCGATGCTTGGCATGAGAGGCACACTTCCGCATTTTCTCATGGCTGAACTTCAGGTAACACAGATCCCTAATGGGAAGGAGGGAGGACACCAGCCTAACACATGCCAGCACGGTGTTCCCTAGTATCACACTGAGGCCAAGCGTGCAGCTGACCACCACACAGACCCCTAGGGAGGGAGGGCACAGGGACCCTGTGGGGAGTGAGTGGGCCACTGCCTGGCAGGTGGTGGGGCTGGTGGCCCAGGCTGAGGTGGTGAGTGCTCCTCCCCACCTCCCACCTGCCCTGGCTGTCCTCCACAGAGCCACCTACCTCGGGAGATGGAAGGACCAGGCCTTAGCGTGGGAGCTGCCGCTTGGATCCATCACCTGTCACAGGTCTGCCAGGAGGCAGTGGTGTGGCATGCAGCTCTGGGAGAGAGCCCTGTCAGATGCCACCATAGGCATGCTCAGCCAGCTGCAAGGGCTCACTTAGTGGGGACAGTGCCCTGACCCGCCCTCAGAGCCTCAGGGCACTCTGCTTTCTCCCAAGGGAGCTCGCCTTCTGTGGGCATGAAGGTGGTTCTGAGCTCAAGGAGGTGCACCCACACCTACACCTGCCAGACAGCCTTGCAGCTAAGTGACCATACACCTAGCAGGTGGCAGATAAGGGATCCCCCAGTGGCCCCACTGGGAGCTGGAGGGGTCAGGGCACACCACAGCCAAGACCCACCCAGGCCAAGGCCTCCTGTGTGATTCCGACATGACTCAGACATGTGGTTTTAATGGTTCACCCCATAAACCTGAATGCACAGGCCCCACAAAGCCCAGGAACCCCCGTAGCCTGGGGGCTCCCCTGACCCCCGTGTTCTCCAAGCGCCCACAGCTTTCTCTGGCTCCAGTGGCTCCAACAACAACCTCAGGGGAGCCTTTTCCATTCATTGCAACTCGTTAATGATTTTCAGAGGTCAGTTACTCAGTGCAGCCCTTGAAGCAACACTGCACTTGGAAACCAGTCCCAGGAATGGCTCAGCCAGCTCCAGAGGGCTCCGGGCAAGCCCCTCTCTAGGTTATTAGCTCTGCTGATGGGGCGTAAGGTCACTGGGACACAACCTGACCTCCGTGGAGGACCCCAGGCCAAGACTGAACTCTCCATGCCATTCTCCCCTTTCCCAAGCCCACCAACCCTTCCCCCAAGGAGTGCCACTGCTCTCCCACAGCCTCTGCCCCTAGTGAAGGTGCAGGCCTTAAACAGGAGTCGGCTTATCACAGCCTTGCAAACAAATGCCTGCCCACCAAAACACATGATAGTCCAATGCTTAAGTCCCTCAGTGGCCAAAATGTCACAGCCTAGAAAGACGGGAGAAAGGGGCCACACACCCCTCCAGGGGGCTCGGCCATCACAGGAGACACTGGACAAGACTGGAGAGCATTATGGTTTTTGTGTCTTATGAACAGGAGCAATAACACCCACAGCCTGCTTTTGCTCATCGGACCCCCATGCATGGGACTTCCTGCGGAATTCGGCAATTTGGCAAGAGAGCAGAACCAGCACAGGACTGAGTTTTTCAAAATAGGACTCGGGGAGTTTCCCCAGTCAGCTTCTCATCCCCAAAGGGCTGCAGCAGGAATCAGGAACATTTAGCCAAGCCATTTCCACAGGCAGGATTAGCAGACAGCTATGTGCAAAAGGAGGAAGTTGAACATGCCACCACAGACAAAAATTAACATGCCACACACCCACACAAAAGGTTAACACACCATACTTCCACACAAAAACTAGCACACCACACACAGACACAAAAATTAACCCCGTATGAATCAAAGACTACTGTGAGAAGTAACACTACAAATATTCTTGGAAGAAATCATCAACATAAATCTTAACCTTGAATTGGGCAATGGTTTCTGAGATCAGACACCAAAAGCAAGCAACAAAAGGGAAAATGAGCCTTGGTTATCTTCCAAGTGATCACCTTCTCTGCTTCAAAGGACACTAGCACGACTGCAAAGACAACATCCAAAAGCCACATAGCTGATAAGGGACCCGAATCTGGAATATATGGGCAAACTCACAGAACCAGGAGAAACCAAAACGCCCAGTTCCACACAGCAAAGGATCAAAGGGGCACTTCTCTGAAGCGATGCACAGGTGACAAGCACACAGAAGTGGCTCAAGGTAAGCAGCTCCCAGGGGACGCACAGCGAGCAAGACACCCTTCCACACCCACTGTGACACCACAGCCGCAAGACAGATAATGGCAAGTGCTGGTGAGGACGTGAGGAAATGGGAACCCTCATACTGCAGGTGGCAGTGCGGGAGACAGCCTGGTGAGGATTCAAGGGCTGAACCCGGAGTCACTGTGTGATCTAGTCCGTTCCGACGTCTATTCCTGAGAAACAAAAGCCTGTGCCCACCAAAAACTGTACAAAAGCAGAGCAGCATTCCTGTAAGCCCAAAAGTAGAAGCAGCAAATACGCAGGTGAGGAGCTAAGGGCGAAAACGTGGTGCGTGACTGGATGACTTAACAAAAAAGAGTGACGCTCTGACAGATGCACAACATAGACGATTCTAGAAAGCACGCTGAGAGAAAGAAGACAGTCCCAGACGACAATGTTGTGTGACATCATATATAACCGTGTTGGATGATGCCATCTGTCCAGGTTCCAGGTTGCCTGCATCTGGAGGAACTGGGGGCAAAGGGCAGCTGGGAGTCACAGGGTACAAGCTTCCTTTAGGGGACAAGGAAAATGTGCAAAAACTGACTGTAACTCGGAGGTGATGGTGATTTCGTGAATTTGTGAAAAACCATACCAGTGCATGAGAGTACCTCACAATGTTCATCAGAACATGAACTGATACTAGCAGCTATCAGGAAGAATGAAACTCGACCAGTGCTTGAAGAATGGACCCAACTGGAGGACGTCATGCGGAATGAGCCGTGTGCACCGAAGGACCAACACGGTGCGTTCGGCCCTGTCTGTGGGATCCACGATGTAAAGAGAAGCCTCTGTGGGTCAGCGCTGCTCTAAACGTTGCTTTGTGGAACTCGGAGTCCTCAGACTTAAGAACGTCATACAGCTCTAGTTTTGACGATCTGTGATTGCTTTCCAAGGTACTGTACATGGGTGAAATGGTCATTTTCTTCCATCTAAGTATTATTTATAGCTCTCATCGAAGTTCTTTTTGGTGTTTGCTTATTCAGTGAAGTGTAAAGCCTTTCCACTGAAATGTGAATCTATAAAATGTTATTGCAAAAACTAAAAAGATCAATGGAGAGGGAAGGACGATGGCACTGAGGGAAGGAGGGGAACGTCATTCCATTCCATTCTTGAACTATGAATCTTAAAAACTAATGAAGAATTAGTTTTTAAAAACATAAGTTTACTTCGGTGCAAAAAAACCCTTGAAATTCATGTGTTTTTTCATAACCCGCATTTTCCTATGAACTAGAACCACAGGCACAACCAAGACTAACTCCAGAGTACGTGACAGTCACAGATATTCAAACGCCTTCTAAGGCCATTTAGAAAGGAGATCCAGCTGTTCCAATGTGGGAGATTCACCCTAATCATGCCCTGCCCACAAGGAGAGCTAAGAATACCCCAGGTCACCTTGCAACCCTAGCAATGATGGACTAAGGTCTTCTCTACCCAGGGTTTGGTAAGCGCTTCTAGAGGCCAAGACCATGTAAAGATTCAATGCAAAGCTCACTGCCTGGTCGGCCTGGTCTCCCTGGTCCTCGAGCCCTCGGGAAGTAACACTGCACCAAAGCACCCAGTTTGCCGTCATCCCTGAAAACAGGCTTCCATCTTGCACCTGCAGTGGCCTTCAGAATGAGCATGGCAGCAGCCAGCTCCCACAAGCCACCATACACAGAAGCACAGGCAGACCTCCAGGCTTGCAGTGACAGATCCTCAGCAACCCGGCAGAAGGCACGGGATAGAAGGCACGGGACAGCCCCACCCCCACCCACTCATCAAGAACAGGAAGGATAGATGCCCATCAAGCTCACTGAGGAGGGTGGCAAACAGGAGAAGGGGCCGCACTGCCTCCCATGCCTCAGTGGCCAGAGTGGGAGGTAAAGGAATGGGGCAAGGTGAAGCTGTCTCTGGGGGCAGGGGAGGAATCAGGAGGGACCAGTTAGGTGGTACCAAGCGGACTGTCAACTAAGAGCCAAGAGCCCTGCTGGCCATCAGGGCAGAGAGGAAGAACAAGGATGTGTCCCCAAGCTGGTGGCCAAGGACAGGGAGGAAAGACCCAAGCTTGCTGCACACCAGACTCTGTGAGTCTCTGTTAGCCACCAGGCTGCTGCTTCCATCATTGGGGCAGGGTCCCTCCCAGCTTCCATTGGCCAGGTAAGGCTGCAGTGTACAGAGGTGCAAGTTCTACATCCAAGGGCGTCTGGGCTGGGCGCTGGGAGGCAGGTGCGTGTCCTACTCCGGGTCAGAGCCCGCACTTGAGGATGACGTGGTAGCCGTCATTGCTCTCAGCTGCAAGAGAGAAAACACCAGGTGGATTCCACTGGAAGGAGGCTGCACCCTTAACAGCCTTCGGGGCCGAGAAGAATGCTATCAGGGTCCAGAGCCGAACAAGGCTCACATTTCCTAAAAGGAACTACCTCAAAGAGACCTCTGGGCAAATGGTGGTTCTCGCAGATTGCATGTCGAGCATGCCCCAGACCCCTAACAGCACTGACAGACTCCACCCCCAGATCAAGGGCATAAGCGGCCTGGTGATGGGACGGTGCCCTAACCGCTGTCCCTCCCAGCTCTAAGGGAGGCCATGGCGAGTTCTGGTTTGGACTTTTCTCTGGCACTTTCTGCTGAGCTCTTCCTGGCCCAGCTCCTGGGCCTCCCACTCTGCTGGCTCATGACCCCAGACCAGAGACACCAGATGCACTGTGCTCCCGTGTAACCCAGAGAGCAAGCTGGCCAGCACAGAGAGCAACAGGGTCAAGGCTGGGACCCATGGGGGCTTGCTTCTTCCTGAGGCTGAACCCAGATAGGCCCTTTCGGAGGGACTCCTGGGTGCCAGCAGGTCCCCACATCCACTCAGCCCCCAATCTGCTCCAGTTCACGCACCACCACCGGAGAGCATTACCTTTTAATGTGCTGAGGATAAAACAAGATTCATCTTGGAAGTTCTGCACCATCTGAAAGGCAAACGAGGAGACACATTCCTTAGCCACAGGCTCAGCATGGAGCTGAGGGCAGCAGAGCCTGCAGATGGCTCTGTATGTCCACAAAGCCCTGAGAAGGACCAGAACAGAGGCAGCCTGGATCCCACAGCACGGGGCTGTGGGGTCCTGGTATTTGGCACATTCTGCTTCCCCCAGTAACTGCGTGACCCATGCCCTGTGATGGACACGCTATGGGGACTCCTGCCTGCACACGCTGAGTCCCCCTAGCGCAAAAATAAACTCAGAATGTTCACAAGGACCACAGTCTCTGACTTGGGAGTTTTCAGGGGTGGGTGGTTTATTTTAAAAATGGAGTTAGAGAGAAAGAGGTCTTTCACCCACTGGTTCTCTCCTCAAATGGCTGTAACAGCCAGGGCTGGGCCAGGCCGTAGCCAGGAGCCTCTAGGTCTCTCGTGTGTGCAAGGGGCCACACACCTGGGCCATCTGCTGCTGCTTGCTCAGGCCCTGAGCGGGGAACGGGATTGGAACAGAGCAGCTGGGATACAAACCAGCCACCCATGCAGGATGCTGCTGGGACAGGCGACAGCTTTACCCACTCTGCTACAAGGCCAGCCCCAAGCATTCAGCTTTTAGACTCTGGGGTTGCGGACCCCAGAGCCACGCAGACGCCCCCACATAAAAGGAACTCCACACCCGAAACACTGCTGGTCTTATGAGATACTCAGTCTCTAACAGTAATAAGTCAAAACATTTTGCAATTTCTTTCTAAAAAAAATCCTTCACCAAAGGATCTGTGTGCCGGGGTCCTGCAAGGACAGCAGGAGAGAGCACCTCCCTGCATCCCTGACTGGCCGCGTGGCAGGAAACAAACGATACAGCTCAGGTTTCCTACCCATCACCTCCCAGTGACCCTGGACCTCACCCTTTGCTTTCCCACCTGCAGGTCCTCCCTGTAAAACAGGGCCGCCGGGGTGACAAAAATGACATGTGACCCAGAGCAACGGACAGGCACCAGTGGGGGTAGAGCTCTGTAGGAAATGGCTCATGGGTAGGGTAAGGACGACTGGACGCATTCCCTCCACCAGAGGGAATGTGTGTGTACATAGCGGCCACTGTTGGCAGTGACAGAGGTCAAGAGCAGCCCGACATCGGGCAGCAGCAGATGCAGGACCAGGCGTGCCCTCCACATCTGGGGATCTCGGAAATGCCGTGTGCCAAAGGAAGCAATGGTAGGGGCACAGTCGTGACTGCCCGATGCAGAGTCTCAAGGAGGCAGTCAGACGACACTGAGAAGGAACAAGGAAGTGAGGGATACACAATGAAGGCTGGTGGGGGTAGCGGGGGAAAACACCAGGCCAAAGGGGTTCCTTATAGAATATTCTAGCAATCTCAAAGCTGGTGCCTGGGAACAACAATGATGTATTACCCTGGGCACACTCCAGATCTGTAAACTGTCTTCCACAAAATACAAATAAAGAACACTAAAAATAAACAGATGCAACTCAACACAACAGCAAGAGCTTTTTCCAGATATATACAGAGAGAGAGGCAGCCCAGCCCAGGTTATGGCCGCTCTGGATTAACGTGGCAAATCTCGCACAGCCATCCCCTGCTCCTCCCCACAGGACCTAATGATGCATGAAGTACATTCCCTCTATACTGCCAGTCTGCTCCATCCAGGACCCGGGCGGCCCCATCCCTTGGGCATGCAGAGCCCAGAACACTGCCCGTGTGGGCTTAATCAGTAACTCCCTGGTTTAATTAAGTGCCTTTGCACCCCAGGGGCCGGCTCTGTGGCTGGCTAGGCTGCCTCCAGTCCTCCAGGCAATTAGGAACCAAAGGTTTCCAATTGATTCGGGGTTAAGAGACAAGGAGACTTCAGGGAATACGAATCGCCTACTTAGGCGAGGTGGCACTGGAGCCCTGCTCTGCTTCACTTACTTAACGGCCTCTCAAGGGCCAGGGCAGGCGCGGGTGGGCGGTCCCTCCAGAGGCCCACCAAGGAGCAAGGCTTTCCCTGCCCTCACGGCTTTTGCCGAGGCTCCAGTGCCCCATGCCCTCACCTCTCCCCGACACTTCTGCAGGAGGCTCAGCCCCAGCACTCTGGGCTCCACTCTGATCTGAACCCAGGGTGGGAAAGCGGCACTTGTGGAAGCCTAGAGTCTACTTGCATGGAAGCCAGCCTGGATTGGTGACAAAGGCGGGTATCTTCACTGAGTTCACACACACCATGCCTGCGCACACCGGGGCACACGCACACTGCACAGAGCACATCACATCGCTACCAGATCCTCAGGGAGACAAGAGCCTTTCACATCTGCCTTCTGCTATGTGTGTCATATTGCTTGATTTCTCATACTGATGAAGAACCCTTTCTTAATTAAAACAGCACGGTGCCCAACAGAGATGCTGGCATCTCCATCCAGGCTCCAGTTCAGGTCCTGTCTGCTCCACTTCTCTTCCGACTCCCTGCTAATGGGCCTGGGAAAGAGGAAGAAGATAGTCCAAGTATGTGGGCCCCTGCCACCCATGTAGGAGATCTGGATGGAGCCCCAGGCTCCTGGCTGCAGCCTGGCTCAGTCCCAGCTGTTGTGGCTATTGGGGAGTGAAGCAACAGGTGAAATCTCTCTCTCCGTGTCCCCCTACTCTCTGTGTCTTTCTCATAAGTGGAACAAATAACAGTAATTAGCGATGGCCCAAGTACCATGGCCCACGCAGCCACGCCGGACACATGAACAGGAGTGAGCTGACAGCCATGGTGACAAGTGACAGATAATCACTATTGACTGCACCCCTAGGTCCTCTGCCTGCCCCCTAGAGTGACCGGCACCTGGCAGGGGCCCCACCGATCACACCTCCACTCTGCATTCCTCCTGGTGACTGACTCCATTCTCCTTGTTCCGCACCACAGCCTGTCCCACAGATCCACGCATGCCCTCGGCAGATGCTGACCTGGGGCTCTGAGGATCGCAAACCTCCCCAAGATCGCTCAGCACCAGCCCTGGGCGTCCTCAAGTCCATGCTGCGGCCACCCTTCCCACTCTCCACACCAGACCCCTCTTCTTCTCAAATCAAGACTTCCATGTCCAGCTGCGGGCTGAGACCAGGATTCCAGGACGGGTCGCTGGCTCACAGGTCCTCACTCCCAGCGGGTGGCCCGGGTGCCTCAGTTTGCTATCTGTGAGACGGGGCACGAGGGGCAAACGAGGCACCAGGAGCCAGGAACAGCAAGTGCTGCGACACCGGCATTGGTCACTGCTATTGTTTGGCAGAGGGATGCAGGAAGAAGCCTCGAGGCCTCTGCCCTGGACTTGCATAGTGCCCCTCTGTTGACAGGAGCAAGCCCAGTTCCCACAGCACCTGGGAACCCTGCTGCCTCCGCTCAGACCCTGCTCATGCCACTGTTGCCCCAGACCCACACTGCAGCAGCTCATTCGCCATCCACAAAAGCCCTGCTCTCCCCTGCAAGCTGCAGCCTTGCCGCACCCTTTTCCCACTGCCACAGCCCTGCTCTCCCCTGCAAGCTGCAGCCTTGCCGCGCCCTTCTCCCACTGCCACAGCCCTGCTCATTCCCATCAAGAAGGCAGGGGCACACGGTGCTCTGGTGCTTGCTCAGCACCCAGCCACCAGAAGCAACCACTAGCAACATCAGCACTGCCCCTTGGAGTGAGCAGGTGCAAGCAGATGTGGCCACAAGGGCGCCCACCAGGCACAGTGGTCCCGCAGCACCTCCTCCCAGCCTCCCAGCGCAGCTCTCACTCACCTCGTTGCTCACGACCACGTGGATGCCCGTGGGGCCCTGCCGGTACACCCGGTGAATGTGCTGGGGGGAGATGCTGTACAGGCTGGCAATCTTCTCAATAAGTTCCAAGGCGGTCAGCTCCTCCAGGAAGATAGCATGGTACACTGCGGGAGGAACAGGAGCTTTCTGCGTGAGGAACCAAGACCCACGAGCCTGCTATAAGGATGCCAGTGCCTGCGCAGTTCAGTGGGACTGGCTACGAGGCTGAGGGCACCACGCAGCCTCTGCAACCATCCATGGTGGACACAGGCCTGGCCCCACCTCTTTAATACTGCCTCAGTCTCTGGTGGGCGGCAGTCTGAAATGTGGAGGCTCCTGGACCCTCAGACCCAGGCCCGCCCAGAGAGGGAGCGCAAACAGGCCAGAGTGGCCAGGTTCATGGACCAACGAGACATGCACTCACTTCAAGAGGAAGATATCTGAGGCCCTGCCCAGAGAGCGGTCAGCTGGCCGGGGCACATTCTCCCCTCACCCCTGCCACTGGTGACAGGCCCCAGCAGCTGCTGCATGGGGCACAGATGGGCAGGAGATGCCCTGGGGAGCCTGCATTGGAGTCCCAACTCTGCAAATGCAAACCCTGGGAGGGGCACGAAGCCCCTGGGTCCCTGTCACCATGTGGGGAGACATGGATGGCATTTCAAGCACCCAGCTTGGGCCTGGCCCAGCCACAGCTGTTGTGGTATCAGGAAAATGAACCCAAGGGTGTGAGATTTTTCTTCTCTCCCCGCTCTTTAAAGAAACACAAATGCATGAGATTGTAAACTAAACATACCCGGACCAAATTTGAGCGGTGTGACAGCACACAGCTGGCGGGGTGGAGGGCTCCCCTGAAAGGGGCTGGCAGAGGTCTCAAGCCTGGCCATTCAGAAGGATTCCTGTGCCAGGGTTCAGGCAGACTGAGCCTCTGTTCAGAGTCGTCTCTGCTAAGTGAGCCTGTAGGGCCAACCCTGGGCAAGAGCCCCAGGCCTCGTCCTAAGACCCCCTTCTCCAACAGAACCCTAACAGAGAGCTCTTGTAGCCACTGGGTCACTCTCCAAATGGCCTCAGCAGTCAGGGCTGTGCCAGGAAAAAGCCAGGAGCTTCTTTGGGGTCTCCCACGCAGATGCAGGGTCCCAAGCATCTGGGCCATCCCCACCCTGCTGTCCCAGATGCATTAGCGGGGAGCTGGGTCAGAAGTGGAGCAGCTAGGACTCGAACCAGCCTCTGCATGGGATACCAGCACTGCAGGTAATGGCTCTACCCACTATGCAACAGTGCCGCCCTGCCCCCATCGCTGCGTTTCTTCCTCCTTTTCATCTTTTCAGAGTCAGCTCCTCTCTGCCCGATTTTCCTCCCAAAGCCAACTCCATTTCTGGCTAAAAAGCAGCGGCAGATCTGCGGGCTGGCACTGCGGCTGTGACCCTCCTCCTGGGCCGTGGCTGTGCTGCTGACTGTGGCCAGCAGTAGCACTGAGCGAACAGAAGGCCAGCTGGCTGTGCCAGCACCCAGCCAGCAGGCTAGGAAGGCAGAGAAGGCACAAGCTCGTCCCTGGGCAGTCCTGGGTGCCTGCCAGGCCTCTGCTCCTCACTGGAAGGAAGACCGGAACAAGCGACCAGTCCAGGAGCCTCAAAGTGTGCCCAGGACCCGCTGTGGGAGGAAACAGTTGCCCTTCCTTCACCGGTGGGAACCCAGGACACAGACTCCACGAACAGGTGTACAGCAAGGGCCTGAATCCCTGAGGGTAACACAGGGCCCCGACTCACCACACAGGCTGCTGTCCCCGCCACCCTCCCGCTTTTGCTGCACAGGCACCCGGCTCTGCTCCAGCTCCTGGCACACATAAATGGTCATCTTCGGCCTCACATTCCTGGTGGGTGGACACAAGAGACAAGTAGCAGGTGCACGGTCATCTCAGAACATCCAAAACCCAGGATAGAAAGAGCAGTGGGAAGGCCAGGACAAGAGGCCAGTGGAAGAGCAAGTGTCATTTGTGGGTGGGGAGTGCAGGGACAGATAGGCCTTCCCCTGTGGCCTGCCCCAGCGGCCTCCTGAGGGTGACCAAGACAGAACTTCCCCCACCTTCTCCCGCATAGTCCACAGTGGCCTCCCAGGCCTCGCCACACCCAGCGCACAGGCCCCTTCCAAGCCATGTAGCACTGGGGGTGGTTATAGGTCTGCAGCAGGTGGATCTCGGCTTCCCACTCTGGCCTCTCACTCTGCACCTGTCTGGCATGGGGATGATCATCTCAACTCAGTACAGTGTAAGGGAATACAAATGTAGCCACCACATTAGCACAGGCAGCCAGAGGCTCCTGCAGTGGACAACGTGGCTGAGAACAATGACACCCTACAGCATGGCTGGCCCTGCTCCTGTGCACTGCCACGAGATGATAAACACCTAGGGTGGCCCAGGGCTCCTGCGTGGGTGGCAGCCTAGAGCCCAGGGCCACCCAAGACTGGAGAACCTGGGTGAGCAGCTCGGCGACAAGATCTAGAAGCACCCTCACCCCTTCATCCCAGCTGTGTCTCCACACCTCATTCCCGGCCTTCAGCCCTGGCCCCTGTCATTCAGTGTGCCTGCGGCTCTCCTGCAGCCTGAGGAGTTAGCACGCACCTGCCTTTGATGGCATTGAAGAGCCGGATCCCATCCGCGGGCCCGCAGATCTGCACCAGGTCATCTCGGGACATCTTGAGCAAATCGGCACCTGGACAGGAAAACGCAGCCACCCTTCACGGAAGGGACCCAGACAAAGGGCCCCAACATCCACACTGCAGGGGGGCCAAGGGACGCGCCAGTCTCACTCTGGAGGAACAACGGACAGCCCAGGGAGAAAAACAGTGAAGCAGCCAGTGACCCTGTGAGACCCTGGAAGCCCTGCTGGGGTTCAGGGGGCACGGACATGAGCCAGGAGAGCCTCACCACCATACTTCTGACTGGCACTCCATCTGAGCCTACGAGCACAGCTCCCACCAGCACACTGGCAGTGTGACGAGCACATCTCTTGGTGCAGAGGCCAGCGCGCCTGAGCACACCCTGGGTCTCAGTGACAACCCCCTCCGCCCTCTCTGCCTCCACCCAGGGCTCTGCTCCCCCAGGACCTGTGACTCCCAGCTCCCGTCTTCCCAGGTCCCAGTTCAGTGTTCATGGGACTCATGCCCATGATTAGCAATGCTCCCTTTCATGTAACACCCGCCCCTCGTGGGCACCTGGGTGCTGTCCAGTCTGTGGCTGCACGAACAGCCTCTAGGAACTCTCTCACACGTGCCCATAGGGTCTGGGCTAGACAACCAGGTCCCAGGGCACACAAGTGCTGGGTTCTAGCAGACCCCAGCCAGCAGCAAGGCACATCGGATCTCCATGCACTGCAAGCAGAGTCGGACAAGGACTGGCCCAGCTCCAAAGGAGCCCGGAGGGTGGCTGTCCCCTGGGAACAGAGAGAGTGCTAGGAAGAAGGTGAGGGGCGGGCCCCAGCCACACCAGAGGCATAGGCGTCTGGCCTCAAGTCTATGTCCACTCCCTGTAAGCGCACACCTGGGCGGCAGCAGGGGTGTCCTGAGTACCTGCGCCCCTGTCATCACACAGGTCTCGAGAATGGGACCGAGTCCACGCTCTCACCCAAGCAGGCACAGTCCCGGCTGCCGCAGGAAGTTGGAGTGTGAACTAGCAGATGGGAAATACCACTGATGGTGGACTGACGGTGGACTGGTGGTGCTGGAGGACGAGGCTGCTGCAGTGTGGCTCCCACCCCCGACGCAATGTGCCTGGCTCACAGCTTCTGCGAGACCACCGTAGAGAGGAGAACCCCCTCCCCATCTCTCCCAGATCCCGGCCGGGCACAGGCGCATTGGCAGCCAGCAGAAGGCTAGGAAGGCCGAGAAGGCACAAACTCTTCCCTGGGCAGTCCTGGGTGCCTGCCAGGCCTCTGCTCCTCACTGGAAGGAAGACCGGAACAAGTGACCAGTCCAGGAGCAGCCACTCTGCTTGGCTACAGGCTCCATCCGCTCCATGAAGGTGTAGGGGGATCATGACGGGGCCATGCAGACCACTCCCATGAGTCCACACTCAAACAGAAACTTCCTGGGCTGCCTCTGTGTCTCCAGCTTATGACCAGGGTCAGCCCCAGGGACCCAGGGCAGGTCCCGGCAGACGCGATAGGGGTGTCACAACGCCCACTTACCAGAGAAGCTGGCAAAGAGCCGGCAGAACTGTGAGAATCTGTTGCGGTGGAGCCATTGCTGGGCGTCCTGGATGGAGGCGGACGGGAGAAGGTGCTGCAGGGAGACAAGAGGCCTTGAGCCGTGGCCCACAGCCTGGGAGGCCGCCAGCCAGCCGTGGCCCACAGCTCCTGGGGCCGCCAGCCAGCCGGGACGCCCACGCATGCACACACTTACATCACTGCCCAGTGGCAGGGCCTCCACGGGATGGGTCGGGGAGCTGTTGCTGCAAAGGGAAAGGGGCCATCAGTGAGGACAGGGCTCTTCCAGTCGCAAGGAGGCCATGCCTTCCCCAGCCCTGCTTCAGCCACAGTGCTACATGGTTTGTCGGAAACAAAATGGCTCCTTGTGGATGTCCCCAGGGAGAGAAACGGCAGCCGGTATTCCCAGCCGAGTGCTCCAAACTACCAGCTGACCTTTGCCAGACAGGAAGCTTGCGCTGCCAACACACACCCCACCCCATTCCTGACAGCTTCTCACAGTCCCAACCAGTCCCGACATTAGGGACTCAGGTGGGGCCGCGGCTGCATGACCTAGTGCCACTTTCCTGTGTGCCCATGGGGGGCAGGAGGAGCTGCCATCATCCCCAGGGCTTCTCCTGTAAGCAGGACACTTCCCTGAAGGTCAGCTCAGGGGAGGCTGTGACCAGAACGCCCAGGCATGGAGCTGAGAACTGAAGCGCAAAGAGGGACAACACTGACCATCGTGCAACCCTGCAAGAAAGTGAATGCCACGGACCTGCACACGGTGCTGGGTGCGGCTGGCTGTCACAAGGCCAGTGTCTTACAGCACAGGCTGCCCCACTTGTGATCCTGTTCCCTGCCTCTGCACCTGGGAGAGCAGCGCAGGACGGCCCAGGTGCACGGGCCCCTGCACCCAGGAGGAAACTCCGATGAAGCCCCAGGCTCCTGCCTTCAGGCTGACCCAGCCCCAGCTAATTCTAAGTCTAATTAGAATTCTCTAATTCTGTCTTTCAAATGGGTAAAATAAATCTTAAAAGGAAGAAATCAGATGAGTTCTGCCTGCTGTGCAATGACTACACTCCCACCTGCTGACACTGCCTGGCTTGGCTGCTCCCTGGCTCCACCCAGGCTTCAACTCAGAGAGCCATCACAGGGAGGTCATGGGCCGTGCCACCCAGCCTGCACAGCCAGAAAACTGCCCTGTGCCCATGCAACCGACAGCCAGGCTAGCTCGGAGCTCTAAGCGCCGAGCCCAGGGAAGGCACATGAGGGGTCCCATATCACCCAGAAAATGTACACAGGAGCTGCAGAGGACAAACAGTCAGGGCCTCCCAGACACCCCCACCAGCCCAACAGTGGCTCTCAGAGGCCCTTCTTCCCCAGGGCACACAGGAGGCTGGCCTGGGTTTACTGGGAAAACTCTGGGCTTTATAAAGTCGATGGAAATGGCTCTGAGTGCAAACAGGTGCATGGATGTCAACACAGCTCAGACAGCTGCCGTGAAACCCACAGGAAGGGGGACAGTGCAGGCAGGAGGACCAGCGTCCTAACGGCACGGAGCAGGGAGCACAGGACGACGTACCCTTCGCCAAGGCTGAAGCTGTTGGGAGAGCCGTTGTAGCTCGGGGATGGGGTGCTGTTCACCTGATAGGCGGCATCGGGCCACGGTGAGCACTGCAGGGAGACAAGAGCAACAGTTCCAGGAGCGGCCAGAGGCCCCAGCATGCTCACCCTCCAATCCCTGCCCAACATGGCCTGCATTTACCCAGGGGGCAGCGGGCTATGGAAGCCCAGAAGCCAAAGCAAGCAGCAAGGAGGCTGGAGGCTGACGGAGCCAGCCTGGGGACAAGCTAAGTGCGAGTGGTGTCTGTGAGCTTCCTTTGGTTCAAACCCACAGGGACACAGCAGCAGGCAGGTGACTCCCGGTCAAAGGGAAATAGAGGGCTGAGACAGGGTCACCTCCAGGACAAACAGACGTGGCCAAATGCATGGCCCAGGAGAACCAGACCTTGCCCAGTGCCAGGCAGCCAGCAACACTCAACACCAAAAGCAGCACCACACAGAAAACGGGAGACAGCATGCCAGTGGAGTTTTCAGCAGGTGAGCTCTCGCCATGGCACCTGGGCAGCTCAGGTCTCCTGGGGCTACAGGGCACCTGTCAATGCTCACATGCAATCCTGCCCCCAAAAACCACTAGCTCAGAAGCAAAAACCAAAAGCAGGCGTCTCCCCAAAAGCAAGCGAAGGCAGACGGGATTCCCACACACAGGGCCCTGGGCTCATGTCCCGTGGAGTAGACCCAGCTGAAGCCTCCCTGTGGACCGACGAGCACCCACAGGAGCTCTGTCATGAGTGCGTGGGCTGCAGTGTGCTGGCACCAAGCCTTACAGCTCCAGGTACTTTGTCTCCACCAGGGAAGGAGGAAAGAGGTTGAAGCTCGGCTGGGGAGAGGACGGTGCCCCTGGGGCAGGCAGGCCAATGCAGGAGGCCTCCCAGGCAGCGCCACAGCACAGGCATGGAGAAGGCACGTGAACAAACTGGGCTGAGTCCCAGGCCATCAAGGGCAGCCTTTGCATCTGTCACACTGATGGGGCAGGGCTCCTCTCATCAAGGTTATGGCCACAGCTACCCTCAGGTGAAGTTCCAGGCCCAACCACAACTTAGCTCTTACACTGCCTTACTGCAAACACTCCTCTGCATATGGCTTATTATGCACGTGCGGGCGTGCACACACACTCACACACACACACACACACACACACACACATCACTGCTGTCAGCCATGCTTCTCTAACATGCTCTGCTAACACACTTTGCCCTGCCATGGCCACTCATATAGGTACAGGGGCATTCTGAGAAACTGCAAATACTCAGTGGACAAGCACCAACAGTAGTAGATCCAACTACAAGCCAAGTGGGTTAGTGGATGTTCCAAAAAGATCTGAGGCCACGCAGGCTAGCCCAGCAGCTAAGATGCTCACATCCCACACTGCAATGCCTGGATCGGAGGGTGCAGGGCCGCTCCAGACTCCAGCTTCCTGCTCACACACCCTGGGAGGCAGCGGGCGATGGTGCAGCTCATGGGTCCACCACTCATGGGGGTGACCTGGCCTTTGCTCCTGGCTCCCAGCTTCACCTTGGGCCAGCTGTGGCCACTGCATTTGGGGAGTGAACCAATACATGGGACTCCCTACCTGTCAAATAAAAAATAAAAACAGCAAAACGCAGAGCCCAGTAAAAGAAAAGCCAACTCCGACCCAAGCAGTGAGAGCCTTGGAAGCCCCCCCAGGGCGTCATGCTGGTGAGAGCAGGCCAGCACAGTGTCAGGGCGAAGAGGAAATGACTCCAACAGCTACTGGATCAAGAGAGAGGCTGGCAGCTGCATTCCATGTCCACCCCAGGTGCTCTCCCCCATGCACGTCTTCCCAGCCGCACGGTGTGAGGCGGAAGAGCCTGTGAGCCACATCCCACCTGCCAAGAAGCTATCCAAGAGGAATGCTGCACAGCTGGGCAACGAACCAGAAGGCTTCCATGCAGGAGTGGGGGCCTCCAGACCAGCTACCAGATGACAAGAGCGGGGTACAGAGCTGTGCCACAGACACACAGGTATGCAGCAAGCACTCACACACACACAGACACACACACACACAGTGCATCAGGGCAGGCACTCCAGGGCAGCTCCAGGCAGACACTGAAACCTGTTCCACTCTGAGTCCCGTGAGTAAGCAAACGGAAACAAGCACAGTTGGGGAGGCACACGTGGATTCCTTCAGAAGCAGCAGAGGGCTCTGAGTGACCCAAGACAGCTCCCCCACAGCAGGCCTGATCAGACGGACCATGACAGGATTGAGTGTAATTCCCCAGGGCTGGAGCCACAGCTGGCTCCTGTGCAGAGGCCCCGGGGCTCTGTGCACCTCTGTGAGGATGGTCGTCTCATAGGACGGTTGGTACTTCTCCTTCTCCTGGGCAGTCCGCTTCTCCATCTTCTCCCGGTCAGTCTTCTGCTTGCGGTCAGCTCCCTTCGGCTGCAAGCACATGGGGCCAGTTAGCGCACAGCAGGCAGGGGTACCTGCAGGCACACGGGACCGGTCAGCACACAGCAGGCAGGGAGGGACAGCTGGTGGCACACGGGGCCGGTCAGCGCACAGCAGGCAGGGACAGCTGCCAGCACATAAGCCCACCTTACACAGGGCCCAGAACAGACGGACGGGGGGAGCTCAACACGGGATCAGCCTCCTGCCTGTCACCCTTCCCTGCCCACAGGCTGTCAGTCGGCTCTCGGTGGCCTCTCTGCTGCTTCCAAGGAGATACTGCGAAGAGACTGGGGCTCATGAGGGAAAGGAGCCGCTCCTCCCCTGGAGTCAGGAAGCACCACAGGGATGACTGACGGGACATGGAAGAAGCATGGGCTGCTGGGCGTCCTGGCCACATGCTGAAGCCTTGCTGGCCTAGCTGCTGGACCCCAGCAGCCAGGGTTCCCAGGAACTAGGATGTGAACAATGATGGGCACGGCACAGGGCTCTGCCCAGCCTGGCTGGTGGCACCCTGGGGACCCAGTTTGGACTGGGACACTCTTGCATGAGGCTGAGAGGCCATGGGGATAGCACAGCATCTCACACCAAGGCACAGCCTGCAAGGAAGAGAACTGCTGCCCCGAGGGTGCTCCCCGGCTAGTGGGACCACAGGTGGGGTCTGAACCTGGCAGACGGCGGTGACCACAGGCTGCGCCAGGACCACGGGCTGTGCTGTCAGACATCCAGAGGGAACAGCTACCCAGAAATACTGTGGCCGTGGCCAAGAGATCTGCAGAAGGGCTGGCCCCAAGGAGGGCCCACCGGCTATGTGGCCTTATGTGGCACGCAGTTGCTCAAGCTTGAAGGCCAAATGACTTTAGAATGCGGGTCAGTAAACTGCCACGGAATACAGGAAGGTGCCTCGGGACCGTCTGGCAGGCCCCATGGAATCACAGGGCTCTTGGCAGAGGAGGCCAGGGTGATGCCTACTTTCACAGGCTGTGAGGGACTCCGAGCCAAGGAATGGAGGGGCCCCAGGAGCCGGAAAAGTCTTGGAAATAGATTCTCGCTTCAACTCTGGGAAGGAATGTGGACCTGTTCAGAACGTCAGTACAGTGACAGGAAATGAGCGCACGGGTGTTTACGCTCGGATGCCCAGTTTACCTAGCAGCAACAGACACAAACACGGTGGAAGGGCCAACTTCCTTGGGAAGCTTCATAATCCCAAGCAGGTTTCCGAAGGCTCCCCAACAGGCACTGGCTTCTCTCTCCGGCTGGGCCAGGGTCACCGCCTAGCCACGGGGGCCGAGCACTCAGAGCCTCATCAGGGCTGCACTGTCTCTCGCCCCAGGCCTCAGGCAGCCCAGTCCTACCCCCACGGCTCAAACGGGAGCCTCAGAAGCACCATCCACCAGGCAGACTCCTCTGTGCACCTACACCTGCAGTGAGTGGCGAATGACTCAGATTCCTTCCAAGGGCTTCCTGGGCACCAGGCCTGCAGAAGATGCTACAGACTGGGCAGTGGCACTGCCCTGTCTAGCAGGACACCAGGCCCACCTGCCACTCAGTCAGCAGGCTCATGGCTCTACCAGTGAGCATCCATTCCCCACCCAGCTGAGCTCAGGAAGGTCACTGCTGCCCCCAGAGTTGCTGCTGGTGAGCCCCTGTCCAGAGTGACTCCAGCCCCAACAGGTTCCAAATCCTCCTGAGTGTGAAAGAAGGGGCATGCCAGCACGGCTTCAGGGGCAGGTCATCTGGGCAGTCCCTGCCTAGCGGTGGCCCTGCTCTCTCCGTGGACACTTGCTGGAGCTGCCCAGGCTGCAGGGGTGGGTCATGCCCCGCATCTCCCAGAAACCACACGGGCCAACAAGTGGGAAAACTGGTCTTCATGCTCAGGAAGCAACTGGGGCAGATGACTGCAGGGACAAGGCAGACAGACAGCAGGGGCACCCCAACATGTTTCTTCCCCCAAGAGGTCAGTACGGAGGGCAAACAGGCCTTGGGGCTTAAGCAGGAGAGGTGCGAGGCCTCCAGCGCCGTGGCAGCGGACCTAGCAGCAGGCACTTGGGAGCAATTCCAAATGCTTAGGAGAAACAAAAATCCCAAATTGGCCGATCACACCATCCTCACAGCCTTACGCTCACATCTGGGGTCCCGACACTCCTGATAAAAGTTGAGCCGCTTTCACGTAAGGCAGGGCTGGGACCCCGTGGCTGGGACCCCGTGGCTGGGACCCCATGGCTAAGACCCCCGCTTCCTACCTTGAACACCTTGATCTGGCAGCTGGCCGAGTGCAGGTGCTCCGTGTACTCCCCATTCTCATTCTGCTTAAACGTGTCAACCTGCACACGGAACGGCACGCCCTTCTCACCCCCGTGCTTCCGCGGGGTGAACTCTGTGCTGATGCAGTGCACCTGGGAGGAGGGGGGAGAGCAGGCAGCAAGATGAGGGGTGCAGGGTGGGGTTCCCCAGGACTGTGCTCCATATGTGAGTCTCCTAGTCTGCCTTTTGCTCTGCCAAGACCCCATGCAACACCAGTGGCCTGATAGCTCCTAGTCCCCATGCAGACAAGATGCACCTCCCATCTCCATGCCTGTGCTTGGAGGCCTGCCCACCTGGCTCAGGACACTGTCCCCACAGGCACCCACCCCACTCCCGGCAAGTCCTACAGACTTCAGAGCAGCCCAAGTGCTCTCCAGCACGCTGGCTTGAGCACAACCAGAAGCTACAGGAATTGCCATGTGTCCAGGAGTCCGAGTTGACATCCCTTCTCTAAAATGTTGGAGATCAGAAATATTTCACATTTTGGACTTGAGCGAATATTGACATAGATTTTACCATTAAGTATTTCTAAAACCCAAAAATCCTAAAGCCAAAAATGCTGTGAAGTACAGTATTGTTGAGTTTCTTCTTGCTCAACATCTCAGGTTCTGAAGCATTTCAGGTATGAGCTTTTGGGTGCAAGACACAGAAGCTCCTCACTACACAAGGCTTCCAAAGCTGAGTGATGGGCTGTGGCATGGCAAGTAAAGCCACTGGCTGGCATGGCAGCTTGTAGGCACAGGTTCAGGACTAACCAGGCTGCTCCACGCCCAGTCCATTTCCCTGTTAATGGCCTGGGAAGGACGGCCCAGGCAGCGGGCCCCTGTACCCAGGTACATGGAATCCCTGATGAAGTTCCTGTCTCCTGCCTGGCCCAGCCTCGGTGCTGCAGCCACTTGGGAAGTGAACCAGTGGGTGGAAGATCTCTCTTTTTCTCTCAGTCTCTCTCTCTCTGTTTTTCCCTTTCTCTACATGACTTCTAAATAGATATTTTTTTAGAAAAAAAAAAGCTAATAGAAAAATGTACATTATACCTTAATTCCTAGTTTCTCATAAACTGTTTAAGATTTAATTAATTAATTAATTGGAAAGGCAATTTACAGAGAATAGGAGATACAGAGAAAAAGATTGCAGGGCCCGATCTGCTACAGCCAGAGCTAAGCCAATCTGAAGCCAGGAGCCAGGAGCTTCCTCTCGGTCTCTCATGTGGGTGCAGGATCCCAAGGCTTTGGGCTGTTCTCGACTGCATTCACAAGGTCACAGGCAGGGAGCTGGATGGGTAGTAGAGTAGCCGGGACATAAATTTGTGCCCATATGGGATCTCGGCACTTGCAAGGTAAGGGTTTAGCCACTAGGCCTTTGTGCCAGGCCCCCCTCAAAATTTTAAGACTTCTGTGTATTTATTGTTATAATAGCATAATACTATTATATTATAATTTATTACAATCACATTGTAAATTTCTGAATTAATGCTAAAGAAAAATCATTTTCACTGACTGGATGCTGTGTTACAGCTTTCCACCAGGCCCAGGACAAGGCTCAGGCTCAGGCCCAGGCCCCGCCCTTAACCACTGCCACCTGACAGAGCTGCAAAACTGTGTGCTGGATAACAGCTTGTTCCCTAATAGAAATTATACTGGAAAACACTTGCCTTTAAACTACTTCTCGATGCTGGGAAATGCTGATTTGAGGAAGAAATCTCATTGATTCTGTGTTTCTCCAAGTCCTTTCCTCAAAGCTCCCAAACCAGGAGCCCTCGGATCCAGAGTGAGCTCAGTCCTGCGTTAGGCCAGGGGACGCAGCCAGGTGGGCCCCTGAGAAACCAGCTCTCGCTTACCTGAATGAACGCGGAAGCCCTCTTGGCAGGGTCCCACAGAAACTCAACTGCATTCAGCTGTGTCGGGCTGGCCCTGGGGTCCAAGATACCAACAGACAGTGGGATATCTGTGCACACATACAAGAGGGCAAGTCAGCATCTCTCAGAGCCCACGCTCCCGCACCGCAGCTCATCATGCTGGAAGCTTGGTGCCTCCGCTCTTCACAGCTCCTGGGGAGCCACTGTGAACTCAGGATGCTCCTTGTCCCACTTGCTCTGGCTGCAGGAGCACTGAGTGGCAGCAAGAGACCCTGGAGGCCGTGGGTGCACACACCCCACCTTCACTCTAGCCTCTGAAGCCCTGTGGCAGTCGAGGGCCCCCAGAGTCCAAGCTCTCTGCCTGCCCTTCCTCACTCGGAATCTTTGCACTATTCGCTCCCTACTACAAGCCTCCCTGAAAAGAAGCCCACCGCCACACAGGGAAAGGTGGTGTGCACCCTCAGGGCCAGGACAGGAGGGGCTGTGCTGCCACCACCTCCCAGGGCCCAAGGGCACTACAAGGGCACTCACCAATGTCCAGGATACGGTCCCCGGGCCGGCTCCAGCGCCAGCCCTCCAGCTGCTGGTGCTCCGTGTACTGCAACCGGCGGTCATGGAAAACCACGCGGATGATGCTCTGGGAGGGAGGGGGACAGCTGGGTGTGGGGCCCAGGGTGGCCAGGAGGGACCTGGCCCTCTGTGCAGATCCCAGTGCTTCTCCCATGCACCCAAGCACACGCTTCCCAACCCATAAGGCCCCTTCCCCAGAGCCCAGAGTACTCCCACCCAGCACAGGGCTGCCAAACGCTTTACATACACTTGTGATGCACTTGGAAACCCCTCGTGCACAACACAGGCATGAGTGGGTGGGTGCACAGCCTGCTCCCCACTACCCCAGCAGGAGAAGGGGCGACAGCCCTCAGAACCCCGCCCCTAGCCTGTGCCCCTCCCGGGGCGCCCACACCCCTAGCACACACACAACCCCAGGGCTCACTTTGACGTATTTTGTGTTCAGATCTTGAAAATCTCCCAGCTTCCGGTTCTCCAGCAGCCGGATTTCATAAGACTGACCTGGACAGAGAGGTTAAGATACACTTTCCATCCGACTGTCCCAACTCGAAGCTCGGCGGCCTCCTGCAAGCCCTCCGCGCCTGCTCAGGCCCCGAGCAGAGAAGAAAGGCGTGTGTGGTCCGACCCCCAAGTCGGACCGTCCGGCTACACCTCAGTTGTACACCGGGTCAACCTCCCTGGGCTGGAATGCCAAGCAAGGCCCCACCAGGACACACACGGCTTCCTGTGTCCATCGCGGGCCCGCCCCTTGCCCCTGCATGGCGTCAGTCACCCACCAGAGCCTGCCTGAGCAGGTGCAGGGAACAGAGGAGCCTGTTAAACATTGTCCCGAATGGCAGAACGAAAGCATTTTCCCCAGGTCAAAGAATGCCATGTATTTGAAAGGGTGTGGGGATGTTGTTCGGTGGCATACAACTGGTACCAGCCAGTTAAGATATATAAATGGGGGGAAAATTGAGCATAATAAAAAAGCCTCTCAAAGCATCTATGAATGATCTGAAGAAAACTGTGACATGTGCTTGAATAAACAGAGCACACCATGTCACAGGACAGACAGCCTGTGTAAATGCAAATGTTGTCAGCATTCCCGACAGTCAATGTTAAACCACACTTTAGTACACCCTGGCACATACTGTCACTCAGCTAAGGACTTTCACAGCAAGAGAACTGTCTAAAGCCTCCAACTATTAGACATTCACAAGAAGTTATAAAAGTCCTACAGAGGGAGCCGGTGCTGCGGCTTAGTAGGTTAAAGCATAGCCTACAGTGCCAGCACCCCACATGGACACCAGTTCAAGTCCCAGCTGCTCCACTCATGATCCATGACCTTGACAACGCACTTAGAGGTGCAGCAGATGGGCCAAGTGCCTGGGTCCCTGGACCATGTGGGAGACCAGGAACAAGCTCCTGGATCCTGGCTTCAATCCAATCAGCCTCAGCTGTTGTGGCCATTTGGGGAGTGAACCAGCAGACAGAAAATCTCTCTCTCTCTCTCCCTCTTCCTCTGTGTAACTGAGCCTTTCAGATAAATAAAATACAACATAAAATACAACTTAAAAACAACTTAAAATAAACCCTAAAGAAAGGTCCTGAATTCCCTTCTGGAATCCCCCAGTGGTGACGTCTGAGGAAACTGTCAGACATCGTCCAAACCGGCCAACTGTTTCCAGCACGGACTGCGCTCACGTCTCCCTGTGGGCTGCCTACGGAGATCAGAGATAAATGTTCCCATGCTCAGTGTGTGATGTCTCACACGGAGACATCAGCTGTTGTTTTTCAATGCATACATCCTCTCCTCACAGCAAACCTGAAAACAACATTGTACGGACTCAGAGTCACAGTGACTCCAGCTTCCTGCTGAAGCACAGGAGGCCCAAGTACGGGAGTGCTGCCACGCTGGGAGGCAGAGAGTGCTGGGCTCTTGGCTTTCGTCTGGCCTCAGCTGCTGCAGGCACTCGGGGGATAGACCGCAACATCGATTAATCTGTCTCTCTGTTGAGCCATCCTTCAGATAAATCAAAGTTAAAAAAGAAAAAAAAAGCCATGTTCTAGGGTTCAGCAGCCACATTGCAGGAAGGATCCAAGCCCTGGTGGGCTTGACTCTCAATCCAGCTGCCCGCTAAGGTACCTGGAAAGCAGCTGAAGACGGCCAGAGACATGGGCTCCTGCCATCCTCGTGGACAGCGGGCAGGAATTCTGGGCTCCTGGCTGCTGTCTGGCGCAGCCCCAGGCAGTGTAGCCGTTTGGTGAATGACTCCCTTCTCTGTATCTTCCTCTCTAGAACTTTTGTTTTTGTTATATTTTGCAAAAGAGATATCATCTGCTGGCTCCCTACCAGCAGGGCTGGCTCGGCCAGGCTGAAGTCAGGAGCCAGGAGCTTCTCCTGGGTCTTCCACATGCTTGCAGCGACCCAAGCACTCGGGCCATCCTCCGCACATCAGCAGGGAGCTGGACTGGAAGTGGACACAAAGCAATGCCACTTGGGGGATGCTGCTGCCACACAGAGCGGCTCAACCACTGTGTCACAGCACCAGCCCCTATTCCGATCCTTATTAAAACAAAACTCTTCATGGGAATGGAGAACTGGGGGTGTTGGTCGACAGACAGTTTTCATTCAGACAGAAAGAATAAGCCCAAGAGCCTGTTATACAACACGGAGACTGGTTAGCAGCAACACACTGGAGTGTCTGTTGTACAACACTGTACACCACGGGGACTAGTTAGCACCAGTGCACTGTAGCCTGTTGTACACCACGGGGACTAGTTAGCAGCAGTGCACTGTGGCCTGTTGTACACCACGGGGACTAGTTAGCAGCAGTGCACTGTAGCCTGTTGTACACCACGGGGACTAGTTAGCAGCAGTGCACTGTGGCCTGTTGTACACCACGGGGACTAGTTAGCAGCAGTGCACTGTGGCCTGTTGTACACCACGGGAACTAGTTAGCAGCAGTGCACTGTGGCCTGTTGTACACCACGGGGACTAGTTAGCAGCAGTGCACTGTAGGGTCAATTGCACAACACGGGGACTAGTTAGTATTGCACTGTAGTCTGTGGCACAGCATGGGGACTAGTTAGTATTGCACTGTGGTCTGTTGTACACCACGAGGACTAGTTAGCAGCAATGTACTGCGCTCCTGAGATCACACCAAGGGAGCAGAGACTTTCTCACCAGCGAAAGCCACACACGTGTACACGTGTACGGTAAGGCATGTGGCAACCAGCTCGGTTGAGATACTCCACAGTGCACCTGCATCCCAAAACCTCAGGCTACACACACCGCTTTGATTGGCCAATTCCTCCTGGCTTTACCTTAGCTCTGATTGGTCAGTTCCTCACATTTTTACCTTAACTTTGGCCAGTTCGTCACAGTTTCATCTTAGCTATGAAGACTGATCAGACGTTACAGCAGGAAGCTTTCAGAATGGAAGGAGACGGGGGAGTTCAGCTATACAGAAACTTCACATTACAAAGACGGAACACACACAGCAAACTAGGAACGGCCAACCCACACCAGCCATGCGGGAGCGTTCACGAAAAACACCTAGAGCCCGTGAACAGAGGTGAAGGCAGACCCCAAGAGGGCCCACCACTGAACTCCCAGCAGCCTTATCCTTGGGAAGCAGCTTTAAAAATATTTATTTATTTATACTAATAAGGCAAATCAAATTTATGGAGAAAAGGAGAAACAGGGAGAGAGAGCCTCCATCTGCTGCTTCACTCTCCAAATGGTTGTAACAGCTGGAGCTGAGCCGAGCCAAAGTCAGGAGCCAGGAGCCTCTTCCGGGTCTCCCACACGGGTGCAGGGTCCCAAGGCTTTGGACCGTCCTCGACTGCTTTCCCAGGCCACAAGTAGGGGGCAGGATGGGAAGCGGGGCAATCAGGACATGAACCAGCACCCATATGGGATCCCAGTGCTTGCAAGGTGAGGATTTCGCCGCTGGGCCACCATGCTGGGCCCAGGACACAGCTTCTGAGTGAGGACACAAACCGGTGGAGACACAGGGGCAGAGAAGGAAAGAGGTTGGCCCCTGTGGAGGCAGAGGTCACAGTCATGCAGCCCCCAAGCCGAATCCTGGGGCCACCAGGAGCCCCAGTGGCATCCCAGGAAAAAGGAGCTCCTGGGAATTCCTGGCTCCCAGCACTAGGAGGGGGCTGGTAGCAACTTGAAGCGACCATCCCTAAGAATCGTTCAAGGGACAGCAAAAACACAACTGAATCACTCATATCCGGTACCTGCTGAGCAACAGTGCATGTCCCAGGGACGCGAGGGACCCAGCGATGGCAGTGCACATGTCACAGTGCCCCAGTGAGAGCTCCCAGGGGCCTGGCAGCACGCCGGGGAGCAGGGCCACACCCAGGGGGCCCCAGCCCGAAACTGCTGGGGGCTGACCCGTCACAGGGAAGACAAGCAAATGCCGGCTCTGTCCTAAATGCCAGGCTCCATCCTGCCCCACTGGCCTGTTCTCAGGAGACCTGCCAAATCCCTCGAGCCCCGCATGGAGGAACAAAGAGCTAATTTCCACCTACAGTACCATCACCCCATACAGGTGCCAGTTCGAATGTCAGCTGCTTCACTTCCCACTCAGCTCCCTGCTTATGACCTGGGAAAGCAGTAGAGGAAGGCCCAAGCCCTGGGACCCCGCACCCACGTGGGAGACATGACTCCTGGCCTTGGATCAGCTCAGCTTGGGCTGTTGCAGCCATCTGTGGAGTGCAGCAGCAGTTTGAAGCTGTGTGTGTGTTCTTATCCTTCTAACTCTGCCTTCCAAATAAAAATAAAATAAATATTTTGAAGGGGCACTCCCACTGGCCCACCTTTCTGCAAAGGCTGGTGTTTGAGCTGCACCCCCAGAGTCCAGCCTCCTGTGGCACACACAGCACTGTGGTGCCTCCCGCCCCTCCTGACCTATCTAGGGTGTGTGCTCAAGGAACAAGGGGAGGGTACTGAGACCCGATCGCTAGCCCAGCACGCGGACCCTAACTGGTCAGCTCTGCGCAGTGTTTACAGCAAAGCTTACAGCCGGCGCCACGGCCGCTGGGCCTGACAGCCTCCTGCTCCACAGCACGGACCCGAGCCTCACACCTCCCACTGCGCCACCTTCCTTCCCCACTCACACGCCTGGGTCCCCAGGCATCTAGGCCGCTCAGCATGGCAAACCTCGGGAAACTATTCTGCAGGGACCTAGGCTTTCTGAGCCAACAATTCCAGGCTGTCAGTACCACCACGGGGGACAAGCGGGAGTCCTGGAGAGGGCTCCTTCGGTGCCTCTGCGGCCCCATGTACACACAGTAGGTGCTTAGCAAAAGCCACGGTGCTGTGTGGTGAGTGGAGGCAAGGAAGTGGAGGGAGGCAGTGAGATGGGACCAAAAAAATTACAGCCAGCAGCTTGGTTCCCTGGGTGCTTACAAGAAGAGGCACTCCCTGAAAACTGTCCTGCCCACGGAGAGTCCATAGCCCCCCAGGCCTGTAGCCGTGACCTGACCAGGAGACACCAGCTCTC